TGTGGCGTCTACACTTTGTGTCCTGACCTAGTTCTGTTGAACACATTCTTCTTCTGCTTTTTTAATTGGATGTTTGGGCAAACGCACGCTCTGAGCAATGTTTGGCCTGGGGTAATTTTCTTCCATTTCTAATGTTTTAATGGATGGTGTCATGTGACAATGCATTTTCTCAGGTCCTCAGAATTCACTGTAATTTATTTTTGAATGCATTTGTGATGTTTACCAGTATCTACCAGTGTGTCCTCCAATGTTTCATGGAATAGATACTGCATTGCTGTTATCAAATTGGCATGTCTATATTTTAAAGGTTGAGTAAGTAGTATTTTTGGTACCAAATGTACTAAAATGGCCTTCATCAGTGGTGCGTACAAGATGTAATATGCTGCCTCGTCTGTGCTCACTCGATGTTGTTGTAAGTGAAGGCCAGTATTGGTATATCATATCAGTATATGTACATCTGCTTTGCAAACCAAACCTCCATTTCAGTTTAATTTGCACAATTTCGCCATCTAGCATACAGATCAACTTCAACTGCAATTTTTTCGCCCCTTGATCTCTAAATGACAAACCTCACATGTCTGTTTGTGTGTTTTTGAAATGCACCAACGAATCATGATTTTGCTGCTAGGAGCCATCAGTCTTTTCAAACTGTTGAGAGACAGTTCCCCATTTGGGAGCGATGTGGTTGTGAAGATATGGTTAGGTGAGACTAATTATGTCTAGTTCATAATTAGTGAATGACATAATTTAACTGTTGCAATATTTTCTGTGTCTGTATCTAGCATAGAGTTTGGCTAAGCGTACTTCTGGGACTTGCTTGTACATCTCTGCCATCTCTCTGTTGAATTGTACCAAAAGCTTTCACTAAACAAATACTGCACTCTAAGGCCAGTGATTGCTTCATGCAAGCTCCAGTTTAGGATATTTGGATTATGCAGCCGATTGTGGTAAGTTGTCGGCAAGTGTCGAACAGTACTTACTCAACCTTTAAGTTCTGGCGTGTCCACTTCTCATTTACTAGACACAAGCCAATCAAATCAGCAGCTTAATTGGAATTGGTTTGCTGGTTTACCAAATTGAAAAGCAATTATTTCATTCAGGGATTGCTTAAAGCTGACGTATGTGATGAATGAAGAAACGTGTGGGTGGCTTTGTGAAGCGTGTTGATGAATGGATGTATTTTGAATCGATGCATTTGATGCAGCTGGATGGCCATTGATTACATCTACACACAAGCTGTTTTTCTAAACCCTGGTTTATCTTTTGCTCTGTTTGTCTTGTGTTGCTCTATAGTCTTACAGTGGTTGCCTTCTTTCACCTGCAGGTGTGTGTTGTTTCGCCTCAGCAGCATGGCTGTGGTCATCCGCTTGCAGGGTCTCCCGATAGTGGCGGGGACCATGGACATACGCCATTTCTTCTCTGGATTGACCATCCCGGATGGTGGGGTGCATATTGTAGGGGGGGAACATGGTGAGGCTTTTATTGTTTTCGCCACAGACGAAGATGCCAGGCTTGGCATGATGCGTACTGGGGGAGCAATAAAAGGTTCTAAAGTCTCTCTCTTGCTGAGCAGCAAAACTGAGATGCAAAACATGATTGAGCTTAGTCGCAGGCGCTTTGAGACAGGAAATGTCGAGGGAGCGGCAGGAAATGGTAGCAGACCAGGCCCTACCGTCAGCACAGGTGGGATGGGCAGTTTACCTACTACTTTGCAGGGTTTCAGCAACACCACACCAACCACAGTCACCACAGCTGTCACCGCACGCGAAACGATAAGCAACAAAAATGTGTCCACGTACGCCACCACTAGCATGGGGAACATGCCCCCCAGTTTCAGCAATCACTACAGCAGCCCAAATCTAACCATGGGATCCACCATGACAACAGCCATGTCCTCCCTGAACTCCGTACCACCGCCGATCCCCCCTTTGCCAACCATGCCCTCTCTGCCACCCATGCCATCCATTCCCCCTATGCCACTTCCACCACCGGTGTCTTCTATGCCCTCTGTTCCCACTGTGTCACCAATGACTCAAGGCCACCCTGTCCTTCCCATGAGTCATTTAACCCACATGGGCTCAATGCCACCGTTCAATCCAGGCGTGCCGCCCCCTGGTGGTCTGGCCTCGGGGCTGCCTCTAGGAACCCCTAGCCACATGTTTCTTGGCCATATGAACCCTCTGTTAAATCTCCAGGCACACATGAAGGTGGCAATGGGTAATCCAGATGAGTTGTATGTCCACCTTCAAGGCCTGCCCTTCTCAGCCACAGACATGGATGTTAGGGAGTTTTTCCGCGGGTTAGGGGTGGATTCTGTGCGTCTGGTCAGGGACAACATAGGCCGGAGTAGCGGCAGGGCGCTGGCCAAGTTCTTTTCCCCTCATGACACGTTTGAGGCTCTCAAAAGAAGCACAGGAATGTTAGGTCAGAGGTTTGTCGACATCTCTTTGGCCACAGAGAGGCAGTGGATGAGCGTCACCGGTGTTGGCAGTGGGGTCGGAGGTCAATCCCATTCAAAGTCGGGTAACGAGCCCCAAGACCACCAGCAGCAGCAGCGCCGCAACAACAACAACAACAGCATGAGTTCAGGATCCCCGGTGACCAGAGATCGAGCAAGGTCCCGCTCTCCCCACAATAAGGATTTTTGTGTCTACCTGAAAGGCCTGCCCTATGAAGCAGTAAACAAACAGATCTGTGAGTTTTTCAAAAACATGGACATTGTGGAAGACAGCATTTACATAGCTTATGGGCCGACTGGTCGAGCTACGGGTGAGGGATTTGTCGAGTTCAAAAATGAAATGGACTACAAGGTTGCCCTCGGCTATCACATGCAGTACATGGGAAGCCGATTCATACAAGTCCACCCCATCAGTAAGAAAGCAATGTTTGAAAAGATCGATTCAATCCGTCAGAGGATGCAAAGTGGTGATAAGAAAAGCAACTCTGAATTGGTTAAGAACTCCAGAAACTGTGCTCACATTTCAAATATTCCATACAATGTGACCAAAAAAGATGTTAGACTTTTTCTAGAAGGCATTCCGATATTTGAGGAGAGTCTGAAGGTTCTGGCGGACAGCAGTGGTAATGGTTTAGGTCAGGCTATTGTGCAGTTCAGGGCGGAGGATGACGCTCTGAATGCAGAGAGGCTACACAGGCAGAAGTTAAATGGCCGAGATGCGTTTGTACATTTGGTTACTTTTGAGCAGATGAAGGATATTGAGAGAAACCCGCCGCCACAGGTCAAGAGAGGCCAGAAACCCCAAGGGAACTCTCAAGGTCAGACACACGGTCACGCTCAGGGACAGAATCCGGTTCCGCCCCAAACGCACCCCTTTCCGGGTATGTCAGGAGACGAGTTCAGCTTCCTCAGAAACTCCGTAGGCAATTTAGGCAATGGCCCGTTTGCGCCGTTCTCTGTCCCAGGTAATGGTTTAGCGGGCCCTCCTCTACCTCCACTAACACCAGGTCTTGGGGATGTAACACTTAGCGTTCCCCCACCTATGGTTGCCAGCCACTTGCCTGGTACAGGTCTGGAACCCCCTGGCTTCCGGCCAGGTAGCAACAACGGCCCACCTGGCTTTGGGCCGGAGGGCTTAAGAGGCATGCCACCTTTTGACAATGGCTCTAGAAAAAGTGGAGGCCATAACAACAACAGAGGAGGTGCCCAAGGGCGATCTGGGGGTGGCCCTCAGTCTACTTTCGGGCCGGGCCCTGGCCCTGACCCTTCGAGGGGGCAATCAGCTGGGGGTCCTGGTAACTCTCGTGGACCAACCATTGTAAAGATCCAAAACATGCCTTTTACTGTAACAGTTGATGAGATCCTAGATTTCTTTTATGGCTATCAGGTGCTGCCTGGATCAGTCTGTCTGCAGTTTAGTGAAAAAGGCCTACCAACTGGGGAGGCAATGGTTGCTTTTGAGTCCCACGAGGAAGCGTCCTCTGCTGTCCTGGATTTAAATGATAGGCCAATTGGGGCCAGAAAAGTGAAGATAACACTAGGCTAACACTCACATATTCTCCTCTACCAATAATGACATGTAACTGGCGGTTTATTAATGCTAAGAACTTGCATTTAAGCTCACAACTATCTTTACCAAAGTAATTCAGTTGTTAATAAGCCTAGTAAGGAATGACATTGAGAACTCCTATGCTGATTACATGTACAATATGATCACTGAAGTTAGATGTGGCGATTTTGAAAAGACAAACAGCCAACTGTTGATGCAGCTTAAATCCAATCTAATGTTCAGAGCAAGAGCAATTCATTTCTAATGTTTAACAAGCTCATATGGTCGGTGTGGGAGAGTCTCTTATTGCTGTGCAGAGACACCAGTTTTACTTGGAAGCATGTATCATTTTAAAATGCCCTGAAACATCTTGTTTTTTTGTATTTTTTTCCATAGATGTAACATTTACATGTTCTTTTGTGATGATAAACTAAAGTGGGTACTCGCCAAATGCTGCCATGCATGGTGTTAGTACAGAGAAAACGCCTTGTATTCTGGTTAAGGCATATGCTTATTTGCTTTAAGCTTTTCTCCACTGTTAATATATGCAAATGTCCATGTTGTTGCTAGCTATGTAGTGTGAGTAAATGTACTTCTTTTATGGAAAGAAATATGTTCAAAATGACAATTAGGTTAGTGGTCTACAGAGCTCTCTAGAAGCTGTTGTATTTGCCAAGTCTCCCACTGCAACTCATTTCTTTTTTTTTTTTTTTTTTTTTTAAGTATGAGCTGTTTTTGAGTAGATACTACTAGGAATGTCTTATTTTTTTAGCTTTCTAACAACGTATATTGTTTTTTTTGGTAACTTTTCTTCTTATTTCGTAAGTGTTTGTATATATTGTGTAGCTAATAAAATGACATTCCTGACATAGATCTTCAAGGCATTCTATTCTTCGCCGATGCTTTTTCACTACTGCTGTTTTTCTATATGAACAATAAAATGGTATTGGGAAGAAGGGGACTAAGAGTTTTCAAAACATGTTCCAGATATGAGCAGTTGGTAGCTCTGTGGTAGAGTGCATGCTTTATATGTATGACATCCTGGGTTCAAATCCAGGTCGCTGTTGCAAATTAGAAATTGTTCTCAATTAACCTACCTGGTTAAATAAAGGTTAAATTAAAAAAATTAAATAAAATAATCTTTACTTAACTTCAAGGGCATCCACAGCTCAATATTGGTATACGGTTAGCCAGAAACACATAGACTTGGTTTTCTAGATGGGATTAAGTTTAGTTTTTAAATAGAATTACATTTTTATGGCCAGTTGTACTTTACAGGATCAGGTGTCCAGGAAATCACTCTGGTGCATGTTATGTGTCCTCCAGTTTTTGGGGGCAGATTCTTCTGATTTTTGCTTTTTTCTTATTGCAAATTAAGTTAATTAAGACATTTCTTGACATGCTTATCAGGCTACGAAGTTGACACATTGAAAGTGAGAAAAACAGGAGACACACGGCTTTGTTTCACATTCCTGCCTTTAGAATTTGAGCCCTTTTGTATAATAGTCAGTCCAGTGTCAATATGGTCTCAAAGTGTACATTAACATTTAAGATGGCATATAATTCTGCTAATAATTTGTGTTACATGTGGAATAAATATATAGACCTACTGTTACATGGCTAAGATAAGTCTTTAGTTGTGTTTTACAAGGTAGTTTACCACTCAACACAAATGTACCTTGTAATAATGCTATTAAATGGGACATTTCTGACCGTTAACGAGTTTAATATAATTGTTTTTGTTTAAAGTGGTGTCACATACTTACAGCCCTGTTTTTGGGGGTTTCTATTAATTGTGAATAGTTATATAGGTCTTGTTTCTTTGTGAATGGAAGAAGAGTGCTATGTTTGTGTTATTTGACATTCGGGGTGTCAGCATTTCTCACAAAATGAGTCCATGGATTGACAAAGGCAAATATACAACCTTGAGGTGAAGTGGTGGGTTGTGTTGTGTGGGCTAATATGGCATTTTAAGCCTTAGCTGGAACATGCTTATGAATATAACGCATATTTAAATTGTCTGTTTGTCTGCAAAGAGCTGATGAGTTGCAATGAAAAGCACGCTGGGATTTATTTGCCACTCGGTGTTGATACCTGTCTATCTTGGATTGTTTTTTAGTGTCTTCCTTAATTGGTTTTTCTTGTTGTATATTATGCTGGTTGTTAGCTACCAAGCAGTCTGAGGGCTTTCAGAGCCATTGCAAAGCCAAATTTGTGTCACTGGATTTGCTTGCAAAGGTAAGTACTAGTTCATTTTATAAATTGTGTGCGATGACATATGGTGTGTAATAAATTATTTGATCCATTATGCTTCGAACAGTTCGCCAATGTGTTGCTGGGCTTGTTTAATTGTGGCTGGACTTTATAGTAGTGCAGTATCTGTTTTTCAGAATGATTTTATGCATTTGTCAACCGAATTGTAAATCTACAGCAGAAGGTTATATCCAAAAATGCCATGCGATTGGTTTTTAATGACAACTCTAACCTAAACCTGGAGTGACATCCAAGTGACAATAGCAAAGCCTTTTGTAGCACAGGCAACAGATATATCACTTTAGTCACTCTATTAGAAACTGGTTGATGATGTAAGGTTTATTTGATTCATTTGCCTAACTTGTTGTTCCCAGTTAAGGGTCTCCGTAGAACCGACCGTTTGCAGTGCCTTCAGCTGTGCTCAATAGCTGCTTATTGAGTCTGCTTATTACACTACACAATTTGGTGTAGGCCTACGTGTAATTGTCTAGATTATTCTTTGCAGTGAACTGTGTTATATTTGTAAATTGATGGATGTGTTAAAGTTAAGACGGGTGCATTGTGTGATCGAAATTATCCTATAATAATGTTAGCTGGCTAGGCCATCTCCTGAATAGTTAAAAGAAATCTGCAACTAATGGATGGATGTTTTTAGGCCTATAGAAAATGCAGCTTCCCCTTTCCTCTACACATACAGTTTGTGTCACTCTGTGGTGTTGTATACAAATGATCGTTAAGCTATAAGGGCTGTTGTAAATTGGGAGTTTCAGTTACTCAAACGTGTTGGAGATAAAGAGGACCTGAGAGCAGAAATATGTGATCGATATACTCTATGGAGAAGTCATAGAATGCATTTGAAACAAAATGATAAGAAAAAAATCGCACACTCTAAACTCAAATGTATATAATATTTAATAAGACCAACGTTTCGACAGGCACGCTGTCTTCATCAGGGTACATGTGATGTGGTGGTATAGAATGCATTTGAAACATTCGGGGTGCTCTGAGAGGACATTTGATCAGGATTACTGCTCGTCCCTATCGTTCGTCTTTAACAAAACAATCGTAACCCTTGTTTTATTTACGTGAGGTTATATGTAGATTTGGACAAATAATTGCTTTTATAGATTTTACGAATTTGAGTAAAACGAATTTAGATGTTTATGTAAAAATAAATATGTACATTTATTTTGGAGATCTCCGTATTAAATAGTTTTCACACAATCATCAGGTCATATCGGGCATTGGAAACAACAGTAATTTCCAAATTCCCATGGCATTAGTGATCTCAGACACTCTCATAAATACAATATGTTATATTGAATATAGCAGTATGTATGTGGATCTCCTAGTTAGTTAATGGTTCTTTAAATATAGTACATTTTGAACACTAAAGCCTCCTATGTAGCAGATGTAAAAGGCTACCAATGTAATTACATTGAAACAAGCGTTTCTACGTGCAGTCTGCATAGGCGATGTGTAGAGTTCGTTAATGCACTGTGGTGGGTAACATTATACATCAACACGTCTGATGTAGCAGGTTAATACGTCTACCTTTTCTTTCGAAAATAAATAGGCTTTGCGCGTTGCATGCACTGTGTGCAGATGTGTGTAGCCACTTCCGGCAGCGTGGACACGGGGCGTGAGTGACGTTGTCTCTTGTCCAATAGGGACGCTTTTATGCTGTCTGCTCGTCCAATAGTCGTGTTTATAGTGCTCTGTTGAATATCTGCCACACCTTTTTGTCATAGCTGATTTAAGGAATCGCCGCTCCCTTCGACATTAATTTGGTGTTTCTGTTCCTAGTGTAATAATAAGAGCAACTGTTTGATAAGAGTGTGATACTTCTGTTTTACCCGACAAGGTAATATCTGTCGCATATTAATTATTCTTAATCGTCGGCTTGATTAGTTTGAGCAGCCACGGCTGTTGATTATTCTTATCGGAGTATTCTTTATTTAGATTCGTATTAGTCTCTTCTAATGGTGTTTTGATTAAAGTGGTTGTGATAACTTGTATGCTAATCTTTAAACAAGTCTGGTCAATACTGCCACTTACGCGTCTGCTAGGTTTTGTGTTGTTACCAAAACAAGTTATTTTTGGTTTTAAATTAATATAGGAAATAGGAAGTAGACTACCTGTACGTGCAGTTTTTATTTTCAGTATACTAATTTGGCTTGCATTTACCGTACAATAGACCATTAGTTGCACCTGGACCTGGTTAGTAGAAACGTGACGAAGTGGATTGAATCATAAACTGAGTTACAAACATTCTCAGGTGACTAAGATAAATCCCAACATGAGGTTCCCATTTACATTTTAATCAGGAAGAATGTTACTTCCTGTCTCGTTACTTCATTTATTTCCTTTCATGTTTTGGCTCTATCAAATGGATTCTGGAGTTTTCATACTGTATTCATACTTTCATAACGGTTTCATTAATTGTATTCGTATATTGTTATGTTGCTGTATTATTTTGAATTATCATCAGCATCACATGCATCACTTAGATCCCTATAGGTTCCATAATTGCTGCTGCTTTAGTGCAGAACAAAAATACCTTGGTTGCCGTGAAAGAACGTATTTGCCTGTAAAAGTTGATTAATCCTGAAGAAAGTTGATATTATTCAGCTGACTTGCAGAAAGAACACATCTGTCACTTCTGGAAATGACATCTATGCCATTTGAGCTGTCTTTTCGCACTTTCCAATTACTTCTTTAATCCCAACCTGTATATTTCAGTAAAACAGCCAAACAAGTGACACCAATTGTACCATGTTTAACCAATTTGTATCGACGACGATTATCCCTCAAATGACTTGACCTGTGTGTGTTCTGGGATCTCGACCAATCCATTGGGTTTGAAGAACATGGAGTCTGTTGATAGTTGTTTCGCTACAGACTTAAGCTGTGCCTGAAGCTGGTTTCTTGGGAGCGGCCTGTCACACAAGCTATTGTTTGACTCTCAGGAACGTATCTTCCGATTCTGTTGTGGCTTCGGGTCTGCCATATCTCTTCATGTCAGAGGTCATTCCAGGATTTATTCACCCTTTCATGGTGTCAAACTGTACTCACACCATGGCTTTCTTAGTAATTTCCCTAAAGGATAGACCTAAACTTAAGGGTTATAATGGTCTCTTCCTTTGTTAATGGATTTGTTTTTACCATTATGATATCAATTTACTAATGGCAGCAGAACAAACTGTTAAGTGCTTGAGAGGTTGTAGTAATACAGTCTATTCACATGCTGCTTTTATGCAGACAAGCAAGCAATCAACAATATGTTGGGCACTTTTAGGGACTGTTAGCATCCAATTCAAGACTTTTCTTCTGTTGCTAACAAACAGCTATATCTTGTTAACCTGTTAACCTGTTTTTTTACAACTACATTTTAAAAAATGTGGTCAAGTATTTTACCTCTTGTCGGGTTACTGCTCCCCTTTGTACCATTTCAGGTTATTTACTGAACTTCAACTGCTTAAAATTCAATAAAAATGGAAACACTACGGCATTCTAAAACTTTTAATGTAATTTTAATGTTGAAGGTTCTGTTTGTATACCTAAAACATCTCAATTTTCTTTTCCCTGTTGCTCCGCTGTCTACCAAACAATGCCAGAGACCCCATGGATGTTTAGGGCTTGTTTAAATATATGGTGGTTGTTAATCCAAACATTAAAGATTTCCCCTTGTATTTTCCAGATGGCTACTCAATGCGTGTCAAAGGTTGAGCTCTCCATCTTGTGCAACAATCTTCTAGACAAAGACGTTGGATCCAAGTCTGACCCCCTCTGCGTGCTGCTGCAGAACATTGGTGA